GTGTTTGTTATTTTTATAATTTTCTTTAATCGCTTATCATTTTTACGTATTTCCTATACATGTGTATATGTATGTATGTGTATATACATACTCCTAGGCATAGTACTGTATAATAGACCAGTCATCTCTGAGCGGAATTGCAAATACATATATTCGTTACGCTTGCTATTGTTTACAGATGACTTCGTTTTGAATTTTAAAGAGCATAAATCGCTGTGCCGCCCTCGAAACAACAATTTCCGAAGTTGTCAGAACATTTAACACGTTGACCGCTACGGTGGTCACAAATGACCCGAACGTCCAAATTGTTCGAAGACAATTACAAGAAGAAGATTGATGTCGAATCAAAATATTTAGTTACATAGGTAGCTATTGGAAGTTGATGCAATTGTTTTAACGTTTCGTTTGTAAAAAATAAAAAAAGAGTTTTTCAAATATTTTGATCGATTTAAGCTATTATATAATTTCCATTGGTTGCTGCTACCCTCCCCCATCTTTCTATACGTTTATTTATTTCATCATTGTAAAAGTGTTGTCTCTTCAAAGAGAAATGAATCCAGTGATATTTTCAGTTTCTCCGAAATAAAAAAATTGTTGCACCAACCCAATAAATAATAGTGTAGCTGATGGGTTACGATGCCAAATCATTAATAATTAATTCCAACATCATTTACCTTAGTTATGAAACGACGAGTAATGTTATACGAAACGCTGAACATTCTCGTCGCGGTCAAAGTGTTAACTGCGTTTACGAAATTTCCATTCCTATCAGTTGCATAATGTAAATCGATATTACGTACTCTAGATTAATAAAAAGTAGGAAATTTCTGTATAATTAGAAATTAAATATTCTTCTGTTGCATTCTAACGATATTGAATTGCTGTGCTTGTAGCGATCCTCTTTGGGAAAGGTGTTAGTCTTTTGTTCATAAATAGAAGAATTTAAACGAAATTAAATTCTATGCTTTCCGATCAAATATGTTTTATTTGCATTATAAAAATACCTAGTGTATCCGAGTTGTCTAAGAACTGTTGAACATTTTGTAACGGATAAAAGATATAAAGGAATTGGTTCTACGAAAGTATCTTCGTTTGGGCATTGCATGGAATAGTTTTACGGTGGATGAAGTATTAAAAGAAATTGGAAGGTCAATTGATTTTTTTTATATAGTTGACGAAGTATTTTCATTCATCGGGAGATTATACGTTAATTCTATCCAATTTGAATCGTTCTTGACTTCATAATCTTCAATGTTCCTGCTGTGGACAAAAGTAAATAGTTTCTGTGATCACTCAGTTTTTAAACGGTTCAACCACCCCTTGCACTCTGAAAGTTTTTCACTAAAAACACTCATCCTTTTGTTGTCATGTTCATCCATGATGCAGAACTTAATATTAAACATCAAACTTTACTTAATTTTGCTATATCGAATCAAGTGTCGGCTGAGAGGCGCGTCTGGAGTGCAAAGGATTGAAAGAACGGATTATTGTAGTTCTTCAATGTACACATCAAAGGCAATATGAAACCTCAATAGTGCAACTATTGAAATTTCAGTTGATTTGCAATTCAGTCTGTGTATCGGTGAACTATTTCTCTAGTAATTCCTCAGAGAAGCATCTGTTAACTTCTCAATACTTCTGGTGTTAAAAAAGAGAAAACTGGTCGACCTCGGAATTTCACGTTGCACCTACATAAAGAACATATGTTCTAAGCAATGTCCAAACGGTATATCTTTCGCAAGAAATTCTTTTACACTTTCGACCCTCTACGCATGATTTCGATTATAAATTATTTCGTTTATAAATATCTCGGTCATGGTGTCTTTTCCCTTCGTTTTTTTTTGTTCCAAAGCTTCAAGCCATCGCTATGCTTGTTAAAATCCAACATTTCCTACCTAGAATTTCATTTGCATCCCCAGGAGCTACGTCAAGTATCCGTATACCTTAAATATCTCGGTAAAAGGACTGGCCTATATATACAGTAAAATCATTGTATCAATACTGACATTTATAAAAATATGCGTGTATCTTTGAAAATGATCCACCCCGAAATCAAGCATGCTAATTCTGAATCATCGTGTTATCGTATTCACAGTTTGGAGATGACTTGATGTCTAGCAGAACAGCATAGAGGCAACAGGTGTTTCTTCTATACTTATAGTTTTATAGTTTCCATTGGTTACGTGTAACCGTATTAACGAATGGCAAATCAATTACAAAAATATCAGGAATTAGAATATAAAACTGTCAGAACATGTTCTAGGTGAGAAAATGAATAACTGCCCGATCAGCCCCATCGACCTAGCCACCAAGCGATCTCCTAGCAGTATATACGTAGACACGTTTAATTCGGATGTTGGTTCACCGTTGCCCACCTTTGCGCGTGGAAACGGTGAGTCAACAACCGGTCAAGTTTATTGTTTCAAGTATCGTCTGGCTCGACTGATAGTAGATGGTAGTACAACCCTCTCCTTTCTAATGGATTATTTTTCAAATGGTGTTAGAACGTTTCGCGGGAACTGGAAGATATCGGTAGATACAAAAGCATTCATTGATCTTTACATACATAGAAATACATATGTTAAAAGGCACTGAACGTACAACGACTTCGTCATTCGCTATGTAACTCATGTGTATCGCGTTACAGATTTTACAGAAGCAACGTTGTAATCCGCGAGAGCGATTTCCCGTCTCAATTTGGGATTCATGACATGCACGACGCAGGTTCTCAGTAGTATTTATTCGGAAATTCGATTGCACTCTTCACCCCCCCGTTTTTTTCTTTTTCTTTTTTTATCTTTTCAATAACGATCGACCTCGAAGTGAACACTTCGAGGGGAAAAGTGACGCGGAGAAAAGGTAGGTACGAGTGTCAAAAGGAAATCAGTGAAATTATATAAAAGATTGAACTTGTTTTCGCAAGCAATAACAGGAACGTTGTAAATCGTTTTCCTTGGACCCAAATATAGACATTGGTTTCATAACGATGGGAATATATAGCGAATATGACATTCTTTGCTGATTATCCGTGTCGTGCGCGACACATGCTATGCAAATTTATCTGTTTTATTGTTCAGAGGTATTGCATATGTATACTCGTTACTTGAACTTGTACAAACTTCGTGATCGTAACTGGCAGAGTTATTTGTTTTCTTCTTGTTTCTTTTTTTAAACTAAAGTTAGTCGTTATTAGATATTCAACAGTAACTATTGATTACAGGTAAACAATAACATTCGGTTACTCAAGAGATAAGAATCGCTCGACTGACTTAATCTGGATCGTGTCGATACAATCCTGGTTTTAACATCGTGACGCTATTACAATATTACTTGTTGCAGTAATTACCTCGTATTTTTCGCACGAGGATAATAATATACATTTGTTACAAATCGATGTTATATTATATAAACTGTAACATAAGACATCGCGTGAAA